CAGGAATTTTTCCTTCTGAATTAGCGATGAGCAAATACTCCGGCATGATGCTGAGGGACACAGGATGCTGGGACTGCCATCTTTCAGAAAACATGTTAAACCAATGTCTTGACCATGTGCAATCTTTAAGGTTTCAGGTGAAGTTGAAAGGTGTGAATGTCTGTGTCCTAGCACAGCTCCAGCATGGACACCAATTACAGGAGATTATAAAGCAGGTGAAGATATAAGATCTTTCCCTGTGGCTGTAAGGGATAGGACCAAGAGCAATGGCTTCAAACTGCAGCAGAGAAAATGTAGGTTGAAAATTAGGAAGGACTTTCTGACTCTGAGGGTGGTCTTGCATTGGATCAGTTATGGAGCCTTCAACCTGGACATTTTCAAGTGGAAATTAGACATTTGATTGGGATGGTGTCACAGAGCACTCAGGTGCCCTGTGCCTGAAGAGGGGAATACTGCTAGGGAAGGAGCCCTAGCAGTGACTAAGGAGCACAGCTGTGGGTTGCCAGGGCAACCAGGGAAGGTCAGCTGACCAGAGGGGGCAGGGCCTGGCCCTTATAAAGCCCAGGAGCTGAGACCAGAGACAGTTTGCTGCCAGCAGCCAGAGAGGCAGGAGCTCCCTAAGGCAGGAGGTGAGGAAAAGCCTGACCGCAGCGACAGCTAATGGCAGCTCTCAGAGGCTTGAGCAATGTTGTTTTAGCCAGGCGGCTTCAATTTATGTTACAGCCCAGGGGCTTGTGTTTTGTTGTTGTTTAAACCGGTGGTTTGGGTGAGGCTATAAGGGGTTGGAGGAGGCTTCAGGGGGAACCCACAGCGGAGTGTGAGGACCCCGGCGCCCAGGAGGGCGCAGCATACAGGGTGTATAGACCCCAGCCTTAGAGAGGGGCACTTTTGAGACGCCCTAGCGTGGGCGTGGCGAGCCCTAGAGAGGGGCACTTTTGAGAAGCCCTAGCGTGGGCGTGGCGAGCCCCAGAGAGGGGAGCGCCTTATTGAGAAGCCCAGTGCGGGCGTGGCGAGCCCCAGAGAGGGGGCGTTACTGAGAGGCCCTAGCGTGGGTGTGGCAAGCCCCGGAGAGGGGGCAGCACTTACCAAGGCCCGAGGAGAGGGCGGCAGTGCTGAGAAGGCCCAAAGAGGGGCCTGATTGGGAAAAAGGCCGATATACAACAGATATTCCATCTGCGAGGCTTGGGCTGAGGTACTGGGGAGGATAGGAGCCGCAGACAGCGCCCCCTGGCAACAGGGCAGTACAATGGCAGCCTCCTGCTAATGAACATCAACTAATTAACAACAAGGCGTGGCAGGCGAGAAGGCGGGTGGTTGCCTCAGGAACAGGTGCACAGGTCACAGTTTAGCTCGGCCCAGAACGGTTACCTGTTACAGATGGGTTAATAAGGGATGATCTTGTCCTGTGGAGGAAGCTGGACTACATAACCTCATGAGGTCCCTTCCAAGCCTACTTTCCTATGACTCTGCATTTTGCCTCCCTAATGAAACAATTCACCATAGACTCTAAGTGGATGTTTTGGGTCATAAACTGTTCTATAGCCTTGCTGTAAGTAATTTTAGGAAAGCAGTTTGTTTGATCATAGCGGCAACTTACCCAGTGTTCACATTACAGAGATGCAAACCTGAGGACATAGCTGCAGGAGTGGACAGACGTTAATTGGAATATTGTTCCTTGCCATGTTTCAGTTGTTTTCCACAGGAAGAGTACTGTCAATTCAGTGATCCTCAGGTGAGAACTGTCTGCAGGGCCAGGCTTTTGCAAAATGAATTGATAATCTCAGAGAGAACTAACACTTTGGGGGGAACAAGTCACAGTTTATATTTTAGCCGTGTTATGAGTGATTTAAAGCCTAATTCTATAACCTTTTAAGTGGTCCCCATTAAGGTCAACAGCCCATACTGGGGAAATTGTACAGACTAGTGTAGACTAGCCAGCAGCTCTCACAAGGGTTTTAAGTACGGTCAATAAGACCTCCTTTGGAAAGAGGGTGCTTAGACTGTCACCACCCTTTCTAAAGGAAAGCTCCCAGTGTTGCTACCAGAGGTAGAGCTGATTTGATGGCATTAGTGTTTGGAGTGATTTGCAGGTTTGACGGGACCGACAGGCCTATATGCAGGAAACACGGTGTAGTCCTGGTTAGTGAGCAGGTTCACAGCTGCCGTTAGTAAGAGGAGGAGGATCTGCAGCTTTTCCCTCCAAAAGAGTATTTCAATGCAAATGATTTCTGAAAATCCCTTAGTCGCATGAATGAGATTTATGCAATGAAATCACTAGCATGACCCTGAGCTGAATTCATGTGACTGAGGACTTGCAGATTCAGACCTGGCACATGTAAAAACTGTAAACACACTGCCGGTCTTTTGGATACAATGTAAGAAACAGATCTTCCACGACTTCAGGCCAGCAACTAATACTCAGATGAGTAAGGATATGTAGGCACTGGCATTGTTTAATACCGCTACATTAAATATTATTTATTTTAGAGGATGAAGATTAGTGATTGCTGTTATACCAGTGACTGTATCGGTAATCATAGCCTGCCTGAAGTGCTGGGAAGAAGGTCATGTCAGCACTGGACTCTCTACTCTGATACACACTAAGGAAGGAAAGTGGTGATTTTCAGGTATCTTCCTTGTGTTCTAAATACATTTTACCAACTTCCCTCAAGCACCTATCAAATTCATGCAAATAATATATTCTTCCCTGCAGAGGCATTTTGTTTGATCACAGTGACAACTTACTGCTACTCTGCATCCCATACATTAAGGAGCTGCAAACCTTCAAGCAATAACTAAATCACATCAAGGGAAAATACTGCAATGAATGCCACTCCTGCAGACCTTACACATGAGCAGTCTCATGAATGCAGTAAGATTTACTCCTGTGAGTAAAATCTGCAGGACCAGAATCTGTTTTTTTTAAAAGATGAGGTGATAATCCCTGAAAGAACAAATCCTTTGGAAGAAAAGGATCAAGTTTAAGATGACTGTTATGAGACCTGGTTTGAAACCACTTTTCTCTCGTTTGGTAGTTTCCTGGTCTGCGATATGCTTGCACCGTTTTACCGATTACATTCCTAGGAAACAACATACAGATCTACGACATGGAGAGCGATGCCGATAGTCCAGCTGTGTGACTTAAGCAAATCACTGAAATGTAAAGGACAAAAACATCCCTAGAGGACACGGCCTCCTAGCGGAGTAGCTAGAGCATGTTGAGGCTCACAGGGCAAGTATGTTGGGGTGGAGTGACTACTACAAATCAATCATGAAAGAAAGCTAACATCACACAAGTTACGCATCTAGCAATCAGTGTCTGACAGCAAGAAACAAGCTGGAGCTTAGAAGATTTCACTGTGTATTTGAAGCCCCGGTCCCAACCTTGCTCCTCGTACGGCTCCTCTGAAGGCTGTAATTTACTAAACCCATCTGGTGTGCTCTCAACGCGCGCTCTGGAAACGCTGCGTTTCAAGGGTCCGCTCGTTACAGAAGGTCAAAGAGTGAAGCAGGCCCTTTCATTTGAAAGCAACTTGAAAGCAAAGGAAAGGAAATTTATATTTAGAAATAGCAATGATTAACCAAGGAAAATATATTAAAGCATTAAAATAAATGACATAGAATAGCTCTTACATCCAATTAAGATGACTTGGCTTCAAGAAAAATATTTATATACAAATATAAAAAGCTGAGGAATGCTAAACTATGCTGAGATGAAAGTTTCTCAGAACATAATTCACGTTTCGCCTTTATTGCCCTTAAATACCTATACGAACAGAGATCACTTTTTTTTTATATACCTTTTTCTTCTTGTCCTGCTAAAACCAGCGCAGTTTCTTTGCTTTCTCCTCTCCCCCACTAAATCTTTTAAGAAACTTCTTCTCTCCGCTACTGAATTTCTGTTGCAGTTGCTTACCCTCAACCCTTAAACTTCCAACAAAAGTACATTTCTTATTAATATACCAGTTTTTATATTTGGGCAATGATGTGGGTCATATAAGTTTTGCCCCATCGGAACAAATTATCCACCAAAGAATTTAGGTATGTTACTGAACTGCCTAAGTCCAAAAGTTAGATCCTTAATGAGCCAGTGGGGCTCATTTGCAACCCAATATAGGTGCGCTCTGAAAGAGTGCACGTCCCCTTGTCTACCTGTTCCACAACTTTATGAACACTAGATGCACTTTAACAAAAAAAAGGTATTGTGAGTAATTCCTAAGTATAACCTATGATTGCACGAGCCATCCTTAAGATATAACATAGCAACTGTGTAACAGTGCACATTAGTGCAATCCAGGGGTGACATACCCAAGCTAGCCTTAGACTAGTTGGTTTGACTACCAGTAGCAATCTAGCCATGTCAACACAGGCCTTCCTGACAGCACAAACCTGCCCGTGACCCAGGTAAAATACTCAGTGGCCAAAGCTCGAGTCACTGGGCTCATCTACGCATGCAGTTAATGAGCACAAACAAACTCCGGAGCTTATTGCTCAGGAGTTTTTTGCTCCTGGGTGCTCTGTTTGAACATGCGCCCAGAAGCAAAAAACTCCAGACTATATTGCTTCAGAGTTTATTCGTGTGCAGCACATTGAGCCCAGTCGGAGCAGCCCCTGCTAGCAGCATCCCAGGGCTACTCTGGCTGGGCTCAATGTGCTGCGGAGGGGCTGGCTGGGGCACAAGGGTGTTTCAGTACGGGGCTTGCCGGCAGGCAGCCCCTGCACTGAAGCTCCCTAGTGCCCCAGCCAACTGGGCAGTGTCTACACATGCACTGCTGCACATGAAAAATCTCTGGAGCAGGCTAGTACTTGCATTTACAAGTACTAGCCTGCTCCAGAGTTTATTAGCGTTGTACACCCTAATAGAAGAGCACGTGTAGATGCAGAGACATTTACTGAGGAGCTAAATAGGCAGATCTGCAGTAAATGTCTTGTGTAGATACACCCACTATGTCTATACTGCTTTTGGTACCTGAGCTAGCTAGTAAGGGGTATTCATATAAGCTGCAATCATATTTTTGGAATGAAGTGTTGTATACTCATAGACACAAAGGGAGGGATAACAAACAGTCGAAACTGCAGGGGGGATCTTAGGAAAGGAGCATGTTATTCTTATAATTTCAAATAGAACTTGGCCAGGAGACCGGGACTCACACTTTTACGTGTACAAATAGTGTCGTGAAGCTTTTATTGACCAAAAGTGGCCAGGATCTCAGTTTGCAAAAATCAACATTGCCACTAACGTCTTGCTGGAATATTGGTTCAATACTGACTCAGACAGAACCAACTACTGAATCACCAAAACCGTTCCTTACAGAGCTTGGTTTTCCTTGGAGGTCTCCCATGTAAGTACTAATTAGGCCCAGCCCTGTTTAGCTTATGTGATCCGACAAGACCACAGCCGGAGGTGGTGTAGCTGCAACGAGCAACAAGCTTCTTTAAAAAGGGCTCTCCCTTCTTATTAGTCCATCCATACTAAAGGCACTTTGTCAAAGGCTTGGCAATAGGAGTATGACAGGGTGTTTGCACTTAGTTATGGAAGAGCTACACAAGCATTTTCTGCCAGGGAACTCTACCTAACAGACTCCGAAGTCAGATTCAGTACAGTTCTTTGGCCTAAGTTCATCTAAACCAAATGGACAGACTTGATTCAAGTATATTGCTCAACTAGATGATTAAACCATGCAGGAAAGGACTAGTGGTGACACATGTATTTAACACTGCACGTCTCCTCTTTCAAGATTACAAGAAGCTGGCAAGCTTTGGGTCTGTATGCATGCCAGCAGCGGATGTCGGCCCATATACAACACTTTTCAGAGCAGCTTGCTGTTGAAACATGTAGCTTAACTAAAAGGCACTCTCTGTGTACAGTTAGCCTAGTATGCCCATTTTCATTGCCTTGCTTAAAGTGGTTATTCTTCAGCTCTATCCATACTGTAGATTTTAATGCATCTTTAATCTGGTTCCTTTATACACCGCTTGATAAAAGAAGAGAGGTTTGTACAAGCAACTCTCCTGCATTTTCTGCAAAGTCCCATTCCTATGGTAGAATTGGGGAAGTAGCAGAACTGGAATAGGAGGGAGGTACTGAGACTACAAACATGATGTGCAAAAGGAAGGAAGACAGTTCTCCCTCTCGCACTTCTCTTTCCTAACTGTTAATCCATGTTTCGGTCTGCAGTGTGTAGAAACACGAGGATAACAAATTCACCTACTGTCTGCATGCCTCATTCCAACCTTGGCTTGTGATCAATAGATGTGTCTACACTGGGTGCCTTCAGCTCTTGGAGGTGTTGTTCTCAAGTACACTCCACCCTCTAACCATCACAATTCACACACACCAAACCCAGGCAGTGATGCTGCTCAGAGCATGCTGTTGCTGCCTCTCTCCAGAAATCTCTGAGGCAGCCTTGGTGCTGCATTTCCAAGTTAGGCCCCTGAGAAGGTGGGTACATGGGAAGAGTGTAGTCAAGAGCAGCGCTCTCTAGGACCAGTGGAGAGGCAGTGTAGACATGATCTCCATCACGTCTTGCTGAGGTCAGCAGTGAAGTTCTCAAAGGTCTAGACATCTGCAAAGTAAATAGGGACATTTCACAACTAGAGCATGCCCCTTATAGACAGCTTTGCCTTTCTTGTTCCATTCAGTGTTTTCAGTATAAAGAAAGTTAGGAAAAAAATGTCTAGACATATTATCATGCTGAGCATAAAGGAAATCCTATCAGCTCCTTATTACCATCCTTGTTCCCTTCTGCCCCGTCCCTTTATCTATATTTTCCTCTTTCCCATTGCAGGCAGCATTCAAAAGTGAAAAATATTGGGAATTGTGGAGAAGAACACCTTCTATTGCAGTTGAATTTTGGGAGAGACTTGACAAAGATCTGGGGAGCAATACAGAAGTAAACATTGGGGGCATCATCCTCTGATGCCTACACCAGCCATCCTGCTGA